ATTTCTTTAAATTAAAAAAAAAAATTGTACTCAAACCAATCAATTAATCATTATTAAACAATACTGATCTTCCCGAGCCCATTAATAAATGGGTTTGAGTAATTTACAGTAAAAATAAATAAACAGAATAGTTTGCTATAACACCAGCCTCCAGACTGCAGCTTATTTTTGCATATTAGATTGGTACACAATGAACTGAGTTATATAACATGGTAGTCCTCTTTATTCTCCAATCCTTCAAGCTTCAACATCTGATTTAAAGTTCGAATTTTGAGTTGACAGTGTATTGTTCTCTTCTCTTTTGATAATTTCATTTTTAAGATATTTTACAAACTCATCAATGTAACGGTCTTGGTGGAGCTTCTGGTCACAGAAGATTGATGAAACTTCTTTGGCTTTGTCCCTTAACTGCCTCCCTTCTTCTGATGACATAGCCTTCTGAAGAGAATCAGAAATATTTTGTCTACTAACGATCCATCGCTGCTTCTTTCGATTTCGAGGGCCAAGCCTTTTTCCACAAGCAACCATGCATTCAAGGCTTGGTCATGAATAAAAGGAAGGAGAACCAGACAGTGCCCAAACTGCAGGGATTCAATCAGTGAACCCCATCCTGAGTGAAACAGAACAAACCCCAATTGATGGGTGTTTGAGAATTTCCACTTGTGGTGCCCATCCCATGTAAACAAGGCTATGTTTGGATGTCCTTTTAGTGAATCCCTGAGGCAAAGCAACATTGAAATCTTCATCATCACCAGGAGGAGCCCAGTGAGGTTTCCTTAGTGCCCACAAAAATGGCAACCTAGATACCTCTATCCCGTAAGCTATCTCATGGACTTGTTCTCTAGTTAGCCTGCATTCACTGCCAAAACAGATAAACACAACAGTCTTGGATTTCTGTTCATCAAGCCATTGGAAAATCTTACCCCAGGATTCATCAACGGCTTCGGTTTTCTCCTGTGCCGGTGGTAGCAAACCTATTGGAATCACTGGCTTTGATCCCATCATCATTTTCTGTTGTGCAATCAAAAAGTTTCCTTCAAACTCCATGCAGCTACGTATGGCCACTGCTTGACATGCATTGAGAACCTTCGCAAACCTTGGAAAACAGCCACAGCAAAGAGTATTGTAGGCTGCAATTGCTTCGAACTCACGGTAGGCCACCAAAGATGGAAAATCTAGCCATTGTGATGGTCTCGTGAGACTTTCTGGCAACGGCCGCATTTGTTCATCTTGACCGTCCATATACTCTGGTGGTCCAAAGAACACACTTGCGGCAGATGAGTATACTGAGAAGTACAAGAGCGGGACGTGACATTCTGCGGCTATATCCACAGCCCAATCAGTGGCAAAATCAATCAAAATGTAGTCAGGGGATTGGTCAGCAACGAATTTCTTGATAGGGTGCTGTAGCAGATCATATGCATTCACCAAGCACGGGATTTTCTCAATGGGAACATCCACAGTGGCCTCAGCACCCTTCGGGAGGAGCTCATTGCCTACTTCTGGCAGCGGAAACTTCACAAATTGTAAAAGAGATGATAGTTTGGGAGGGACTTGAGGGAGTCTTTGGATATTCCTTGGGGTGGAAATGAAGAAAACACGAACACCAGCGTTGGCTAGAGCAATAGAAAGTTGAAAGAAGGGTATAAGGTGGCCAAAGGCTGAAAATGGGATCATCACAACACTGAGGGTTTTACTTACAGCCATATTTTCTTTGCAAAAATTAAAGTATGCATACTAATCTTGTAACAATCTTGTTATTCATATATGAAGAAATGGCATATTCATCGCAAATGGGACAAATGGGGACTCGATTCCTTCTTTGTCTTCATGTTCCTGGGAATTGGTTGTGTGTAAAAATAAGAACAAAATCAGATTGGTCATCCGTTGTCTCAAATCTAAATAATTTCAGTTTGGTCACGTATTGTCCCAATAATAAGTTACAATCTGGAGATGGTCATATGTTGTCCCAATAATAAGTTGCAGTGTGGAGAACTTGAACTCAATTGCTCAATTATTGCTGTGCAAAATGCCAGGATGTATATTACATAAATTGAATTACCAAATAAAGATTCCCGTTTGGATCAAATAGAAAGGAGGAAAGATTCTTAAGCAATTTTTGAAATTAAAAATCCTATCTGTAATTTTCATATACATCTAACTTATCATACGAGTGTTTATGTAAAAAATGCAAATAAAGATACAAGCATTGCCACTCTATTTAATGATGCAAATTTTATCGGTTTTTAAATAAGATAATAAATTTTTATTTTTTTATTTAAAAATATCAACATTATCTTTTTTTATTTAAAAATTAATTAAATGATTAAAAAAACCATTTGTTATATCAACATTATTATCCAAGTAATTCTTAAATAAAAAAAATACAAAGTCAATATCTTTAAACATAAAAAATTAAAAATTTATCACCTTATTACTTTTTCTTTTTTGAAGAGGGAAATTTGGGAAGAAATAGAGGACTGTTATAGTAGCTTGAACTCTGACCAATATTAAGAGTTAGGCACACCTGAACCAAGGCAACCAAAATTACAAGTGCAAAATCTATTACTTTATATAAAAACTAACAAAATTCACATTTTTATATAGAAAAAACATCAAAGTTTGTGTTTTTATCTGCACCTTTTCTCTACAATTTAAAAATGAGAAAATTTTCAATACAACGATACCATGCAAAGGCTCCCTTGGTATAATACAAGCTAAAAGCAATAGTAGAAATTTTACTTGAAAAGCGCTATACATGCGCCAAAAAACATGTCACTCCCTTTTCTCAAGTGCAGTAGAAAGTAAACCATATGCACAAGCCATTTTCTACAAAAGGATATGCGCAAGCCATGCTTTCAGTTTTTCCTTCTTTTACAAGAGGATCAAAATTCAAAAACTTAAATCCGATGATATCAATTGCTGTAATTCGAGCCTAGTTAATGGTTAAGTTGCTGCTAAGTCTTGTTTTCATGAGAATTTAGCACATCAGAAAACATTCACTCATTTTACTGTTAAGATTGCAATCAGGGCTCATGGTTAGAAGGAGAACCTAGCAACCTCTTCATCCTCATCCTCATCTATAACATCTTCCTCTTCAGTAAACCTCTCATAATCATCATCTTCCTCCTCTTCTCCTTGCTCCTCTTCTTCTTCGTCTTCTGGATCCACCATGGACTTTCTCCTGCCATCTTTGTCCTTCAAACCAGTGCTTAAAACCAGAGTCTCTCCCCTGGATTGCTCCATGTCCCTTCTCAACCTGTCCATGCTCTCCTTCCTGCGTTCTTCTTCAAGACGTTCTTTCTCTGCCCGTCTCTTGTCAAGATCAGCCCTGCAGCAACAAGAATAAACGATGCAAAAATAAAAGTTATAATGAGTTAAATTGGATCTCTACAACATAAGCAGAAACCTCCATGTCATTAGAACACTGATAAAGTACTTAACAGATGAAAAATAGAGAAATACAAGTTGGGCAATACTTATAGGTTTCCATGTATTCTTCAGCACTTGCTTCAATGGCTTTAAAGAAGGCATCCATCCCAGCACCAGAAACTGCAGACACTCCAACAGATCTTAAGTTCTTATAGAATTCATCAAGAGCAAGAGAGAGGCTCTGAGTCAGTGTCGATGTATATGAACTGTCTGAACTTATTGCTGCTTGAAACGCCTCAAAATCTTCCATCCACTGCATACAAACCATTTACTTTCTCAAAATAACAATTTTGTGATCAAAGCTAAAACTAATAATATTGAATATCAATAAGAAAAACCATTAATGAACAAAAATATTTTCAATCATAACTAAATAAAATAAAGAACAAAAATCTGACAAAACTTTAGTATCAGCTTGAGTCTTCTATCATCAAAATAAATTATACCTCTAAAGCAAACTGATGTTGAGCAATATCAACCTTGTTAAAGGCTAATACAAGAGGCAACCGTGTCTTGTAGAGGATGCTACAAGCATAGAGCATGTTACTCATAAATGTCGAGGGACTGGCAGAACGTGGAGTATCCACTACATAAG